CTAGCACCGTTTAAACCATTGCATGGATTTGCAAGTCCGTCTTTCTGGCCTTCATTTATGAACGCACAAGCAGCAGGATGGTCGGGGAATGAGGTGCCCAACACTCACCTCCATTCCTTTCTTTCTCTCTAGTCGCCAGCCTTCTACAGACACTTGATATCATTCCAAGCCAAAAAATGATTTGCGATTGAGGTTACTTCTCCTTGAAAGCTAAGCCTACATTACCTCCACCTCCACCTCCAACTCCACCTCCACCTCCACCCTATGCACATTATTTGACGCAGCATTTTGTACCTTCGTAAGATAATGTAATCGTCCGTCCAGCCAACAGGTCAATGTGTCCGTCTTTGCTACGTCTACAGCCATGTCTCATTTGGATACAAAAAAGAAGCTTCTCGCGTCTTTCCCCCTTCACACACGCACACCAACTCAAGTAAAATGATGTGGTCGTATAAATCAAAGCACTGACAATCACTGTCAGTGCTTTTCCACCAGTCAACTCACCGGTCTTGACTGAGTCGCCAACGTGTTTGAGAAGACGAATACCGACAGTGTGATCGATTGCGTCGTCTGGCTTGTCCCGACCTGCGCCCAGACGCCAAACCACCTGAGCTATCGTTCCCGCGTCAATGTCACTGATGTACCCTACAAAGGTGACAACGAGACCACAGATGATGGAATACTGAGTGATGGAGGAGACAACAGTGGAGGGAGAAGCATCAAGAACGTGGCAGACAGGCAAGTCGTGGACATCTTGATCAGCACGGAAGACAGAAAGCAGTCATATAATCAACATTAACGTGTACGGCCGTCATAAGACATGAAATAACAACAACAACAAAACGCACACATCCACGCTCATCACCAACCTCAAAAGTAGCGAACATAAGCAACGAGAAATGACGCAAAACCCAACGTTGGACCAACTCAACCCAACAGTCACCAATTCACAATGACGACGCCACACCTCAAGGCCACTCCACATCCATTCAGACTCTGACTCACTACATCCATCGTCTGTCAAACATGCATCAATGACTCACTCAGTTTACGCACCCACCCCCTCAGTCACCCTCCTCCCTCCATCCCTCTTCACCTACCTACCTACCAAACACATTGCCTCCTCCACCTCCACCTCCACCACCACCACCACCACCCACTCTCACACACTCCACGACATACCGCGTAACAAAGCCTCATGCATCAGGCACCCTCCACTCTCACATCAGCACATCCGACACCTCCTCACCCTCACTCGCCTTGTCGTCTACCAGCGACAATACCGAAGGCACACCAACCAAAATGCCATTCCACATGCCATACCACACGAGGAAGCACTACCACTGACGGTGGTAAGGCTGCTCCTTCCTCTACCCTTCAACTTTCACTCCCTCTCCTGCACATCGCAACACACGTGCACTTCAGACAAGCCACACTTCACGTTCACGCCCAACAGTCACCACCATTTGCACTCCATCTACCAACCGCTAATTGCCTCCTCTCACCTCCCCGTCTCTCTCCTCCCATCCCAAGTAATTTCAACCAACCAACCAACATCCACCCCTCACCACGCATGATAGGCAAAGGAGAACTCACCTGTCCTCGGCGACTTCACATCCTTCTTCCCATTCGCCATCTTGCCCATCACCTCGAGGTAGTAGTCGATGGCATCAGCACAGTCGGGTGGAGGAGGTGAACAAAGCGCCTCTGCCATTGTTGCATTCACACCCTGACTCACCAGCATCTTCCGCATCATCGTCCGTGCTCTGCCATCTCGCACCGCCTCCAGCATCATGCCTCGTGCTTTCGCCCTATCCGTCGCCATCTCCGCCGCCTGCATCATGTTCTCGCCTGTCAACACAAGACAATCAGTGTTACCACGACTGCAACAACGCCCTCTAGTTTAGTTTACCCTGCCTCCTGTCACCACCAAACGGATGTGCGGATGATCGAAGTGGTGGGTGGGAGGACGTGAAGTGACTGCCTCCTCCTCTCAACAAGTGAGTGGTGAAGGAAGAGGTGATGTGAGCGGCATCGTCCACCTCCACTGCTCTGCCCTCATTCCACGTGTGGCAGTCACGTGTGGATGGAGAGCACAAGTGCCGTGGCTTCGTAGTGGTGTGGGTCGAAGGTGTCGCACACCATGCTGTGTCAATCATCCTCGAAAGAACGCTGTATTACCACTGCACAGTTGCTGCTACTGCAGCTACAACAACGACTATTATTATTACTAATACTACTGGAAGTCGTCGTATGTGAGGAGACAGAGAGTGCCGTTTCTACTCTCCCCATCTTTGTGCCATGCCAACACATCTTACTTCATCACTCTGGTTGCTGTCGATGTGTATGATAACAAATGAGGCAATGAAAGCGGAATAGATTTGACAGCCACCCATTTCGTCTAAATTGTAACCCTGACGGTGGTGGGCGGTTGCTTCTTGTCCATGCAAACGGAACTATGTTTGATGATCTTTACACTTTTCCTCGCTTAAAATCCTTAACTTTACACTCTCTGCTGTAAAGTTAATTGTTAACACGTGACAACACTAACTGCATTGGTTGTGGAAGAATAACAATTTACATGTTATGTTAGCTGAATTGCGTCAAAGCCTTGTTGTAAGTTAAGACTATTTTTTTCACTCTAAATTATATGCTTTTTTTTTCGTTACTCCCAAAGGGCAATTGACAACTCGATGCAATTGAGGAAACGTACCCAACGTGAGTACAAGTTCGCGCAGACGACCTTGGAATGAACCACCACTGAGGATTGAGAATACCTCTGCCATTTCAAGGGCATTTCCGATGCAACTGCCCAACGGTTGATCCATCCATGAAATCACTGCTACCACTTTTAGATCTAATTTTCGTCCAACTGTTACCTGAAATTTGATTTATTTCTTTTACTTCTTCGTGAAAAATTTGTTCTCCACACTTTTACATTTATCTAGTAGTTCTACGTGCTTTGAATCACTTGTCAGTGTAACCCGGATTAGTAGATTTAAACCTGAGACAGGTAGATGCCTTAAACAATTACTAATCATTAGTCTATTGCATGGAATTACTTACAAGACTGTTGGCAAGCTCGCGAACCTCCTCCAGGTTCTGAAACAGAGCCCCAGAGCCCAATTTAATGTCCATCACCAGCCCACGAAGACCCTCACAGAGCTTTTTTGATAAAATTGAAGCTAAAAAGCAAATAAAGCGACTATTGACATTAATGGACTCGTCAGTTAGTTTAGTTTTGAAGTCATCCTTTTAGGTGGCACACTTTCTGATGACTGAGACTACCTACCCGTAATGAGAGGCACAGATGCCACAGTTCCTGTGACATCACGATACTTGTAGAGCTGTCTGTCAGCAGGAACCAGACGCTCCGTTTGACCGACTATGAAGAAACCAGCATCATTAAGCATGGATTTTAACTTCTCCTCGCCAATGCTCGCCGAGTAGCCGTCAATGGATTCCAACTTGTCAATCGTACCACCGGTGACACCCAATCCTCGACCACTAATCATCGGAACCTTTCATTGGAAAATAAATATTTTACATGGTAATTAAAATAGGCAAAAAGTAGGGAGTCATTTTTTTTACCTTTCCACCACAAGCTGCAATCATTGGGGCAAGAATGTGACTTGTCTTGTCGCCCACACCACCCGTACTATGCTTATCAACAACCGATTTTGCCCACTGTTGATCATTCCAGCGAAACTTGTCACTGTGGCTCACCATAGCAGCTGTCAGATTTGCCACTTCTTCTGGTGTCATGCCCCTCGTGAACACGGCCATCAAGAAGGCACCTGTTGATACAATCATCTAAGGTTATGACCTTGCGGCGGTGGTTACTACATTTTAATTTAAAAAAAAAGAGATTTGTGCGCTTTTGGCTTTGTATTGTTACCTGTAGCGTTCAAAACGGCCTTTGCGTTTTGAGACAAGCCCATAATGTCACTAGACAATCACTTCCGTTCCGAATTTTGCGTAATTATTAGCGCGATAGTTGGTGTGAAGGCGTTAAGTGCTAATTGCATGCAAAATTGTTTACAGTTTACGTCTAAACAAATCGCTTTCAATTAGATGAAGGAACTACTGCAACACTGTGAATCATTTCATAGTTTACCTTATGTCTAAAGCTGTCTACCACATTGGGATGAGAACGTTTACGAAACCTTTGTATAAATTGCATAAAAAGTTCACATCTTCATAAGCTCCATCCATCAGGACCTTTGAGCAAATTTGAACACTCTCTAGACTACCTGTTCGCAGCACAAAGAATGCAAACATCCACGAGAAGTGCGTGAAGAAGTTGGAAAACAAAACAATTTTGATCCAAAAAAAAAAATGAAACATTAACTCACCCAATTGAACAGCAGAAATAGTTTTTTTGCATAAATGTACAACAAGATCATCGTAATCCTTCTTGCACAATTCTAGTCCACGAGCTTTTAATGTGAGCATCTCTGAGATGTACATTGTCACGGTTTACCGCAACTGTCATTCACAAATTTCGTACCACGTGTCATTTGAAATGGCCTATGCTGACTGTGATCGATAGCCCTGACCCTCTTCCTCGCCCTACCGTCCATTTCCCACCACCCAACTTTTGGTGGTCAGACGAGTGGACTGCAGAAGTCACTCAATCTCACAGACAATAAGACCAACCAAGTTACAATCTTGTGCCCACTAACAAAAATTCTACCTTGAAGTGAAGGTGGTAGATTAAGGAATTACTTAAAATAAAAGTTGAATAACCATAAAAAATAAAAGGTATATAAAAGTGGAACAAATATTCACCAATTTGAGCAATGTCAATTTTGTTCTCCACAACCTCCTTGATGCAGTGATCAATCTCAGCCGGAGAGAGAGACCCACCATTGGCCTTTTTGGATAGAATCTCCGAAATACATATAGTCGGCATTGTGCAGCCAAATGCAGTGTCTGTAGAACCGAATTCACGGACTATTTATGACCTACATTTGATGTGGGAGTGCAAGTGGAAGGCGAGGCGCGCCTTCACAACCAGCCAATAGGAATTAGGCTGAAAAAAGTAGTCTTAACTTACAACAAGGCTTTGACGCAATTCAGCTAACATGTAAATTGTAATTCTTCCACAACCAATGCAGTTAGTGTTGTCACGTGTTAACAATTAACTTTACAGCAGAGAGTATAAAGTTAAGGATTTTAAGCGAGTAAAAGTGTAAAGATCACCAAACATAGTTCAGTTTGCATAGACAAGGAGGAACCGCCCACCACCGTCAGGGTTACAATTTAGACGAAATGGGTGGCTGTCAAATCTATTCCGCTTTCATTGCCTCATTTGTTATCATACACATCGACAGCAACCAGAGTGATGAAGTAAGATGTGTTGGCATGGCACAAAGATGGGGAGAGTAGAAACGGCACTCTCTGTCTCCTCACATACGACGACTTCCAGTAGTATTAGTAATAATAGTAGTCGTCGTTGTAGCAGCAGTAGCAGCAACTTTGCAGTGGTAATACAGCGTTCTTTCGAGGATGATTGAAACAGCATGGTGTGCGACACCTTCGACCCACACCACTACGAAGCCACGGCACTTGTGCTCTCCATCCACACGTGACTGCCACACGTGGAATGAGGGCAGAGCAGTGGAGGTGGACGATGCCGCTCACATCACCTCTTCCTTCACCACTCACTTGTTGAGAGGAGGAGGCAGTCACTTCACGTCCTCCCACCCACCACTTCGATCATCCGCACATCCGTTTGGTGGTGACAGGAGGCAGGGTAAACTAAACTAGAGGGCGTTGTTGCAGTCGTGGTAACACTGATTGTCTTGTGTTGACAGGCGAGAACATGATGCAGGCGGCGGAGATGGCGACGGATAGGGCGAAAGCACGAGGCATGATGCTGGAGGCGGTGCGAGATGGCAGAGCACGGACGATGATGCGGAAGATGCTGGTGAGTCAGGGTGTGAATGCAACAATGGCAGAGGCGCTTTGTTCACCTCCTCCACCCGACTGTGCTGATGCCATCGACTACTACCTCGAGGTGATGGGCAAGATGGCGAATGGGAAGAAGGATGTGAAGTCGCCGAGGACAGGTGAGTTCTCCTTGGCCTATCATGCGTGGTGAGCGATGGATGATGCTTGGTTGAAGTTACTTGGGTCCACATTTTGTGCATTTGTGATGCGAGTGGGCATATGGTGTGGAAGAGGGCAGAGCAACGCCCGTGTCCAATGTGGAGGTGATAGTGGGGAGGTGTGACTGCGCTATTAACTGGGAAGGAAGGGGAGGAGTGATGCAGTCGTGCTTGTGGAATGGGATGTGTGTGTTTGTCATTTGTTGAGGCGACACCGACCCCCAATGCACTGCGACGATGGTGCAGGAGAGATATTTTTGGGCTAATGCGACAGGGTGGGTGACTCATTGAGGTGGAGACGCGTTAATGTTCTGCCAAAAGGATATGGTGCACTGTTGTGTTGCCGTGATTGGATGCATGCGATGGGGTGTGGAAAGGTGGAATAGGATAGGATGAAAAGGAAGGAAGAAGAGGGGATGGAAAGGAATGTGAGGAGAGAGACGGGGAGGTGAGAGGAGGCAATTGGCGGTTGGTAGATGGAGTGT